TTGGAGGATGTGGAGAATCACCGTGTTATTTGTGGGCAGAGCAGTCTGAATTACCCAGGGCAAAACACAAGAAAACCCAGCAGGGCAGGAATGGATATGCTAGAGAGGTTTTCCATTTACCTGATTTTTTTGTAAGATTGTTTTCCTAATCTATATGTAATGAAACCTCACAAATAGAGGGGAGTTGTATTTCAGCAGAGTACTTAGAGAGCTGCTCTGGGACCATTACCAGCTTTAAGATTATTTCACATTTTCTTCCAAGGTGTGTACATATGTATAAACTCAGGGCCAACTGCAATTCTGGACACCCCAACAGCTGACACTGATGAACAAAAGAACTGGGCCATCACATGGAAGTTCTGGAACAGATGATAAAGCATGCTGTTCAAAACTTCTATTATTCTTCAATGGCCATAGCTCAGGTTATACCCATTGAAGAATATTATCCAGGAAAAGAACACAAAGCTACACCTGGGAAAACAAGCCATACACTGGGAAAACATCAGAGTGAAAAAATACTGACTCTGAAAAAGGCATCAGGGTCATAAGGGACAGGGAATTGAACACAAGATCTCAACTTAACATGGTGTGTTGAGTGATAAAATGTGACACTCGCCTTGGAAGCACAATCAATAGCGTAAAAAGAAAGCAGGGATTTTACCTGTACGGAGATCAATGAAAAAATCATAATAGAGGTTTACCTCCTTCCTAAAAGAAGATTGCAAATTTCCCCCCTGTGATGGGACTAAGGAAGGCAGGTATAACACAAGTCACAAGTTTAGGAAGTCAATCCACACATTTCATTGCATCTTTTTAATTTTTTAACTTTTAAATGCATTCCAGCAGGAAAACATAAGATACTACTAACCTCTTTGCAGAGCCATCCCCTCTTCTTCTCCCAGAAGTGAAAACTGAAGTCAAATTCTAATCACAAGACAGACATGCTCTTTCTACAGAGGGATTACTCACTATTGAAATATTCTATCAAGAAAAAACATAACCAGATTTTATGCCATTTTCAAGAGCTGATGCCTTTCTCTGTCATAAAAAGCTTCACAGAAGGTCAGACTAGATGAAAGGTGTCAAACTCTTACCTTAACTACTAATATAAAGCAGGAAGGGACCTGAATGTCCAGTCTCAGCTGACAAAGGGCTTTATGGAGTTTTTGCCCATAAATTGAGCAATACAAAATTTTACACATCCAATAATCAATCCCCTCAATGCATTAGTTACTCTCATCTTCCTCAGCATGCCAAGAATCCAACAATCTGTAACAGATTTCTTCCCACTAAGAATCCCAGAAATCATCCTGCTATGACCCTTACTGAGGGACAGCTGCTACAGAAGCAAAAGCTTGAGAAAACAGCTAATAAATATTAGACCTTTGTGACCTCAGAAAGACTTCAAAACTTTCCCCACCAAAAAAGCCTCAAAAGTTCCTGTCACAAATTGACTAGGAAAAGTTAATACTCCTCTTCTTTTGAGTGGTAATGAAAGACAACATAATACAATTTTACAGTAGCACAGTTTATCATTAGAACTTATGAATTACAAGCCAATTTCTGCTTTGTTATTTTACTGTGGCTCCTTTTAAAGCAATAGTAGCAATATTGCAGATTTTTAAAATCTTATTCTAGGTCACAGAGATTTACTTGTATCATTTCCTCTGTTACTAAAAAACCTTTAGGGAAATTATTCCATTCCATTTCACTGCAGCCCATTAGTATCTACAGGGCAGCCAAAAAAGAATACTGCATATGAAAGCCTCCATCAGGACACATCAACCTCAGCTTGACATGAAAATATATTTCCAATGTTCAGCTACTAAAATACATTATTACTTGAAATATATTACCTTCTACTGACCTAATTAAGCAACTGTTAAAATGCTAACCTTGTTGCTTCTTCCACTTTCAGCCTTCAAGAACATTATAAATGAACCTTCTGTAAGTCTTGAAAATTAAGCACAGTCCACTTCAAGAAGCTGCTCTCTACAGAATTTTCTTCCTACACAGACTGTCAACCAAGTCATTGTGAAGGGTGCCACTTACAGAAATAACTAGTTAATGATTTTCTGAAGATATCTGCAATAAAACCATGCCAGAGATAGAAAATTCAGCAGGCAGATTTGGAAAAAGAAAAATGAGAAAGGATCTTAAGGTTTCTGGTTATTATTCTGTCAACTACAACTTATAACTGGAATTAAGCTGTTGTGCTCTTCAGCTTTAGACAAGACACATATTTGCAATAAATACACGTATTCTAAATGACCACACATCAAGGGAGTGTAAAATTCATCACATTAACAAAGCTGCTAAAGTTCTGTATTTGTAAATTTTCTAACCACAGGCTTAAACAACAGATACTGCTTACCACCTACATTCTGTGGCTGCATTTTTAGATGATGACTTAATTTAATGCTGCTCTTATGAGTAGAAGGTGTCAATCTAGTTTGCGCCAGACTTTCACTGAAAACATGTAATTTTAAATGTTTCTTTGAAAAGAAGCATCTCATCCAACATGCTACTCTCCAGAAACTTGAAGAAGTGAAGAGAGACTGGACAACCAATTCCTTATGCCACCCAGCAAATAATGAAGCTCTTTATACTACAAACACACCCAGTCTGGGTGCAGAAAATATTTCAAAAGTGAAGGTTTTTTATACTTTGTCTTTCCTTCTGAGAGGCACAGCTTAAATACTAAATGTGTGATACTTTTTAAACAGCAACTCCTTTCTCTCACTTTTCAATGTATGTACACGTGGGCCTTCGTTAAACAGACTCATATGCTTATCGCTCTGTACTGACCAGAAAGAACAGGTAACAGCCTGAAGAATTTTCAGAGTAAATGACCACAGCCTATTTTTAATCATCACAAACATGTCAGCAGCTCTGTAATATGTGTTTACAGCTCTGTAAATAGAACTGTGTTTGCAGGATTGGACCACAGAGAGAACATTTTAATTGCTGAAACAGGATGTTGTAACAGGAACAGGTCCTAACACTGCCACAGGCACAGCCTGCGACATCAGCCTCCACAGCATTTAGCACCCTCTGATTCTCCATCATGGAAAACAAATAAGAGGAACAAGAGCAGCACTGAGGTCTTTGCAAACTCTATTCTTTAGTTATTCAATACAAATTATTAGCACTGCTTATATCTATGATTCTGAAACTAGTATTAGCCTTTCAGCACCATGCCAACCATTGGTCCTCAACAACTCAAGTTCACAGATCCAATCGTGCAAAATCTACCAAAGAATAGAAACATGCTTTTTTTTTAGTAGAAGTCAGTAATGTAGCACAAGGCACGAGACAAAAACATCAATATATTTAAATAAAAACATTTTGTGCATTAGGGAAAAAGCTGTAATCAAATGCATAGGACTTGGGGCGTTAATGAAATGAATTATTTTTCTCAAAGGACCATTAATATCTCTCAAGTAGGACAGTGCTCAAAATCCCAAGACAATTATATAATTACTTATCTTTAGACAGAGTATTATGTTACACAATATTGGAATTGAATAAGTCTCTTGAGCAAATCAGTATTGTGATTCCTACTACAGTACTTTCATACTGTCCCAGGTAGTTTAGTGAACCATTAGGAAGTTCTGACACTGACATTCTATTGGATCAAATAATACATGTATTCTGTTAACTATTAAATCCATAAATATCCAACAGATTTAATTTTTGCACTTGATCTCCACTGGATCAAGCTGATTACTAGAAATAACTATGTGTCTGTCTATGATGTAGCAATGTTTCTGCTCCCTTCCAAAAGGAGCTGCTGCAGTACAAGTAGGAGAAGCTTAGTGCTTATGGCTGAGAAAGGAATAAAGACCACTCGAACAATCAACTTACAAAGCCATGAAGAATGGTATACCATGAAAGAGTCCTTGACTATCAAACTCACGTATCATTCCCACTCCTCTCTCTAACTGACATTTAAACACCTCCATCTGGCTTTATATTTATTTTTAGTACCTTTTTCATGTTTTTCCCCACGGGAAAGGCTTGTGAGTAATACTGTGGAATTAGAGTGTTAAGATAAAAATACTCTTATAGATATAAATTATCATTTTAGTGTATGTAAAAAGATAATATGGTAAGTAGGCTGTAGAAAACAAAGGATGCTTACAGTACTTGAACAAATTAACTAGCTTCCAAATGATCAACAGAACACAAAAATATGAAATCAGAGTTGATTTAGGTGGGAAAGATAAAGTCCTACACATACAAGGAATACAAACATTCTCTGACTCATTACAGAACAGTTGCTTAAGACAGAATTAAATAGCCAACATGTGCTCATTCCGAAATTCTAAAACTGAAGTCATCAGTTTTAGAAACAATAAGCGTTGCATACATCTGATCAGACTGAAAGTGTATCAGACACTTGGCTATAAACTTCAGCCAAGAAAAGAAGTTACTATGGCTGCCTCCCCTCTCACTATTTCCTCATCTTGCTTCTAATCAGCTTGTCTGAAGTTATTTGAGTTTCCACAGGTAAGAGCTGCAACACCATTTATTTCTTAATGGTTTGACACTTAAAGAGGCGGGGACACTGAAGGAAGAAAATGCCCCCTGAAAAAGCAGGTCTTATACAGAAGCATTTAACATTTGCCACAGTCATGCTTTAAGCACTATTTAATGCTTCTTACTCCCATAAATCCCACTTCCTTAGCAGTGTGGGACTGAAAAACACACCACTCTCATCTATTACAGGATTATTGGGTAACAAATCTACTGGAGGGGAAGCAGCTTGCACACACATTTTACAACACTGGTCAATTCACCATCTCTGAAAATAGCTCTATTCTTAGAAACCCTCTGAGATACTCATCTACTACAGAAACTCTCCCTCAACACATCAACTGAACTCCCAGTTCCACACCTTGTACTATTTCGAATAGTAAAAGATTATCAGAATTTACAGGAGAGTCACAAATGACAACTTTACTTCAAAAGAGAATTAAAACTTCTGCAGCTTGTTCTGGATTTCACATTTTTATTGCAAGTACATGACAGGTACCCATTTTGGCCAGAACTTGCAGCTTTATGCTTGCCTTCTTTCTAACATTTAAATACACATCCAGGTCAATCTGTTGGAATACTCAGGAGTAGATACCTTCCACGAAAACACCGCATGAAAGGATGCAGCAGGTACCATCTTCTTATTTTAGTCTCTGTTTTGTGTAGAGTGCTGATGAGCTCCAAATTTCCATGGCAAGATCTCTTGACGAAGACTTCAGTATCCCTTCCTTCCTCTGAATCTTGCCCTGGTATCCAACTGAAAATTGAAGACAATACATTAAGAGCAGGTATTTTCCCAAAGAGATATGGCAGAGTGTTTGTGCTACCTTGGCACTTTGCAACATCAGGACCAAGGCCAGAATAAAGCAGAACAAAACTAGTTATGTAGCCAACAAGCCACAGGGGATTCCGATGAAAGAGGCATTATATGATCTTAAACCTCACACAAAACTAAAATTATGTTGTAAGTGTCCTCTGCATTCTGAAATGAACAACATAAATGATAAAACAGCATAGTAGGATGGCAAGGAACCCATGAAAAACAAGGCAGAGTAAATCCACTTAGATCAGTTTGCAAATATAATAGATAAAGTGAAGGAGTAAAATTCAGATCTGGCTGAAGTAGGAGTCACTACAAATGTCTGTGAGGAGAGGGACAAGTTAAACAACACAAAGTTCTGGAAAAAATAGAAATAAACCAGTAAAAACAGAAACAATATTCATCTTGTAAAATCTGCAAGTTTATTTTGGCAATTACAGAAAAAGCATTGAATGAAAGGCTAAAGAAGATGGCAAAGCTAAAATGAAAGCCACAGTGCAGTACTTACAGAAGCTAAACTGCAAGTTCTTTCCAAAAGCAGCAGAAAAACATGCTTTGGTCTTGGGAGAATTCTGCTGAACTCAGATAGCCAGTCTTGAAGATGGCAGTGACAGATTGCAACTCAGCCATATTCTGATATTAGACTGAGGAGGTTTCTGTTACCAACATTAACTAACAGTCTTCCAGAATTCAGGACTGCAGCAAAATTTGTAAAGAGCTAGACTCATGATGACACAGCTTGTCCAGTAATCAAGCAGCTTTCACTTTAAACCTTGGCCCTACTTCAACACCTAAAGTGTACTAAAGTTACTCCTCTGATAAGACTTTTTGTTTCCTTGAAAAGAAAACAGCATCAAGACAAAACCCCTGATGATTTTTTGCTTACTGCAAATCATATCTGTATTTAGTGTCTAGCTTGGTTTTGGACAGTCTTTAAGTTACCCTTTTATAACAAATAACAAGTTTGACTGATTTGATTATTGAAATTTAAAGAATTAACAGGACAAGAAAAACTTCACTCATCAGCCTTAAAATTTGGGAGAGTTAAATAAAATCATTTAAGAGCCAGGCCTCTTCTGCATAACTGGAGGCATTTAGCTAGAAACTTAGTTTCATCAGGCTCCCTTAACAATCCACAGACAAAAACACACAGACACATCACCTGGAGACACATATGTTACTACTGTAGTCTCAAACTTCCAATATGCAACACCTTCCCATAGACAGAAATAATAATTTGTCCCTATATGGATTAATACAGTTCATATAAAAGAGGTACACAAAGCTGCTACAACAAATACAAAATGGAAGAAAAAATTAAAGTACCATTTCAGCTGTACACTCGTCATCAGATAAAAATAAAAATGAGCCTTGCACTTCTCATGTTTGGAAAGTTTTAATACCATCTTTACCACATCTTAAATATGTTTTAAATATTATGGAAACACAAGCAAAAAAATTCTGGAATTCTGGACAAGAAATTCCTTTCAAAATATGGAAAACTTTTATCTAATCATGTTTTTTAAAATGACTTGTCATTTCCATATTGGATAGTTCATTATATTAAAAAACAAACTTACTTATCATGAATTCCAGTACTCCAAGAAAACTAATGACTCAACATGAATTCAATATCCTGCTTTAGCAGTGAAAGTCTTACTTCACTTCATTTAAATGTTCTCTATATAAATGTTTTTCAAAGATCTTACAGGCAAAACACAGCTTGCTGATATTTTACCTTACAATTACCTGATTTACTAATACTTTTTAACCCAAAACTTTACTAAAAACAATAGTGAAAATACCTACATCACTATCTGTGACATTCTAAGCCTAACCCAATTTAAACATGTTTTTCCAGTTTTTCCAACTCTACAGCTTCTTCTTCATGAGAATTTAATACAACATCCACAGTTTAATCAGGATTCAAAGGCAAGTACTGTTCTGCAGAATGACATCCACCTTACCGAAACAATGTGTTTTTTTTAAAGAGAGGGGGAAAAGGACAAGAAACATCCAGGCCAGTAGCAGAAGACACACCACACTTACCATTGATCTTTTGCATGCAAAGAATGTCACTTGCAAACTCCTACAGTGTCCTTCCCTCAAGCATTGTTTAGGGCTTTTGTTTTCCTAGCAGATGAAAAAAGAAAGATTAAAAACTTGATTTCTACACCTCATCAAAGAGACATCAAAACACCTGACAGAATCATAGAACAGAATCACCGCACATTCTGAGTTGGAAAGCACCCACAAGGATCATCCAGTTCAACTCTTAAGGGAAGGCCAATGCAGGGATCGGACCCACGACCCACGTTATCAGCACCACGCTCCGGCCAACTGAGTAATTTGGGTTGGAAGGGCCCTTTGAGGATCATTTACTTCCAACTTCAGAGAAGTTCACTGCGGATTTCGCTTCGGTACGGTGACGTGCGCTCTCCTCTGAAGCTGTAATTCCCTAAACTGCTGCGAACAACAGGTAAGAAGCCCTAAAAGGGCGACCTGCGGGCCTCTGGCCCGGAAGGGCAGCGGCGCTCACCTGCAGGACGCAGGGGCTCTCCAGCAGGCACTGCCGCAGATCCTCCCTCACGCCGCTGCAGGCGCGCCCGTCCTCCTCCTTATCCTCGTAGTACTTGGGCATGGTGGCGAGCCCGGCGCTACGCTCCGCTGCCGCCCGCCCCGCGGCCACCGCCGACCGCCACCGCCATGCCGGGCGCCGCGGCCGCTTCCGGCGGGAGCAGGAAGGGACGGGGCGGCTCGGGAAGGATCCCGAGCGCCTGCGCCACGGACGGTGCCGGAAGGCTGCGGGAGGCGGCCGTGGTGGCGGTGCCGGGCGGGGCGGGGGTCGCGCCGCGGGCCGGGGCAGCAGGTGAGACCCTCGGCGCGGAGCGGGGCTCGGCTCGGGGAGAGCGGCGCTGCCCGGCCCGGAGCTGAGCGCGGGCCCCGCTGAGGGGGGGCGGGTGTTCGTCAGCAGCGGCGGCCGGGCCGCTCCTAAGTCGTGGGATCGTACACTGTTAAGGGCTGGAAGACATCGTAAAGATGTGGTTCCAACCCCCCTCCCCCGCCGTAGGGAGAGATGCCTCCCACTAGATCAGGTTGTTCTAAGCGCCATCCAACCTGGCCTTGAACACTGCCAGGGTTGGGGCGTGCACAGCCTCCCTGGGCAGCCTGTGCCAGTGCCTCATCCCCTCCACAGTAAAGAATTTCTTCCTTGTATCTAACCTAGATTTCCCTTTTCAGTTTGTGCCCGTTACTCCTTGTCCTATCCCTGCAGTTCCTGATGAAGTGTCCCAGCTTCCCTCTTTTCCTCCTTCAGATATTGGGAGGTGCTAGGAGGTCTCCACACAGCCTTCTCTTCTTCAGGCTGAACTGCCCCAACTTTCTCGGCCTGTCTTCATAAGGGAGGCTCTCCAGCCCTCTTACCAACTCCATGGCTTCCTCTGGATTTGCTCCAACCAATGTCATTGTTTATGCTTGTGCCCATTTTAGTCACTTCAGCATTGCAGCTGTGGTCTGCATCACGTTATTTTATTTATACTCAGTATTTGTGTGCAAAATCAAGCGCATCTTTTGAAATTCTTTCTTTAGCAAGATGCTGCCGACCACGCTGGTTAATTCTGGGAGCCAGGGCAATGGTGTGCTGAGCCGCAGAGATGCTGCGAGGCACACGGCCGGAGCAAAACGCTACAAGTACCTCCGGAGGCTCTTCCACTTCCGACAGATGGACTTCGAGTTTGCCCTTTGGCAGATGCTTTACCTGTTCACTTCACCACAGAGGGTTTACAGGAACTTTCACTACAGAAAACAGACAAAGGACCAATGGGCAAGAGATGATCCTGCTTTCCTAGTGCTACTCAGTATCTGGCTTTGCGGTGAGTGCGGGAGAACGGACAGCATAAGGAAGAGGGAGGGAAAGTTTAGGGATGAACGTTTATTTTCCTTCAGATAAGATACACACACACAAAAGGACCAATCTGTATGGATGATCTTTTAATCAAAGTAGAACAGAAGAAAAAGGCCTAGCCTTTTGGAAGTTAAGGTGAGAAGTAGAAATCAGAGTAGGCTTGAGTAGTACTCTGTAGTCTTGAATTGAACTCTCCATTGCAACTCATTTTCTGTTGCATTTTGAACTGCATACACTGTCTGTAACTTTACAGACAGTAAGAAAACCCTATGCCACATGGCAGTGTTTTTCTTTAAAAACACTGAATATTTGGTTTACTTGAATATTATGAATAAAACATTGTTTTTACCATAAAGGCCCTGGTGAGATTGTGTATATTGCAGAATTAAGCTATAACAAAGTGGCTAATATAAATGACTGAACTGCAAATTCAGTATTGTCTCAGTTGCCTTCTATTAAATAATGTATAGTGTTCATAATAGAAAAACTCTTTAATGAGATAGAATTACACATGTTGTTTGGGTTAACAAGGAGCTTTTATAAAACAAAGAATGTTCTATTGTAGCATTGTCTGATTTTTTTAAAAAATAGTTTGGGATGGAGCATTACAATTAGAACCAAGTACAGATGAGTGTTCATATTTTGAATAAATTGCATTATATCTAGTTTTTGGTGGAAAAACCCCCCTGAGCTGTTGGACTGAAAATCTTGGGGGGATAATAAAAAGGAAAAAAAGGAGGTTTCATAATAGAATATTTAAAAAAACCCCATCACTTTAAGATCTCATGCTTTTGTTTCCACAGCTGACTTTAATGATCTTTCTCTGCTTTCAGTGTCTACTGTAGGATTTGGATTTGTGTTGGACATGGGTTTTTTTGAAACAATAAAACTGCTACTTTGGGTTGTATTCATAGACTGCGTAGGCGTGGGGCTCCTGATTGCAACTCTGATGTGGTAAGTAGTGATTTCTGAAGCCAAGTTCAGTATTGCTGTTCAGACACAGAGAGTTCTCTGCTGTTTGTAAGACACTTGGTTCTTTGTTTGGGGTAAACTTACACTCAAGTATTGACTATAGGTTTTATGCTGTTGTAATTGTTTCAAAATGATACCTTAAAAAAGAATACATATCTTTCTTTACTATTTCCTGCAAGGTTAAATGGTCAGAAGGTCTGTATTATGATGAACATTCCAGCTTTTTTTCTTTCTTCTTGAGCTGGTTAATATTCAGCGGTAATGCCAAATAAAAATAGAAAAAGGTGATTAAAAAAAGGAAAAGCTGTTCAATCAAAATAATGAATGAAGAAGTCAAGTAGTTTAAGCCTGAGGATGAATCTCTTTAAGCAGGACCATATACACTTGGGCCGTGCTTCTTGCTGAAGCTTTTAGCTAGTGTCACTACAGTCCCATCTGTTCTGTCTTGTGCTTGGCACCTTTTTGCTTTGTTGGTAGGCACTGCCAGTTTTATCCTCTCCTGTCCAGAGAGCTGCAGAAGTAGGAGGCAGGAGCAGGTCATTTTACAATCCAGGCCTCATCAGCACCATAGATGTGTCCTCCAGCAGTGAGGGAAACATGAAATGACAGGAAGCCACTGTTTCTGTGCTGCAGCAAGGGGAGGGCATCAAAGAAAGAATTTTTATTTTACAAAGAACTTAAGAAAGTAAGGGCATTTAAGAATTCTTAGGGATGGAGCTAGCATCTTAAAGTGATGATGATTAGAAAAGGCACAGTGGCCTCAGGAACTCCTGCTTGTAATTGCAAAATTGAGAATGAGGCACATAAAAGAAACGTAGTTGATAGACGAAAGGTCCACCTGACCTATGCTCCTGTCTGGAACAGCAACTCATAAATTGCTTGGGAAAGAGCTTATAGTGATGCTTCCTATCCCCATTGTCCAGCAGTCCAGCAGGAGACTGCTTCAGGATGAGCTTATAGTGATGCTTCCATGCTTCCTATCCCCATTGTCCAGCAGGAGACTGCTTCAGGATACAGTCTCCTAAGCCAGGAAGACTTCAGCATCTGCTGGTTTTGCTCTGTATTTTAGTCAGCTTCCTGCAGGCCTCAATACCAGTCACCTGGCTCGAGTTTGGTTCAAGTCCCTTCTTCCAGTGCAAGCTCACCTTTTTCCCAAAAGCTTTCCCCATTCCTAATCAGTCTAAACTCCTTCTTGCCTCACCTCTCCTTACCTTGCAGCCAGGCTCTGCCTCTTTGCACCCCCACCTTTGGCACAAAGAGTAGGTCAGAGGAAGCTTCCATGAAAAATCTGGTCTCTTATTTCTGAGCATGTATTGACTTCTTGTTCCTCCTCTATATGGGGTAAATATTTTGATGTCAGCAGAACTTAAGCTGAAGGAAAGAGCCTTGAGGCTCATTCAGTAGCCTGTAATACCAGGCAGTGCACATTGCAACTGCACATCTTTTCAGTAATAACAGGCACACATTATGAGCACTCTCCTGCCCTCCTGTCCTTGCAGTACATCAGTTCTGTAGAGATCAAATAAACCATCTCTGTGTGAGGTGTGCTGATCCTGTAAGAGCACTTCACTGAAGTCATCTCCCTGTGCTACAGAGAAGTGGCAGCTTCTGTAGCTTGCCACAAATTGTAGCACTGATCTCTTCTTTATAAAGGGGTTTTGTTTCTGTATTACCTGCAGGGTATTTCAGCTGCCTGTAGCATGCAAGGGATGTGATGAGAGTTTTAACAATAGTCTGGTCTGCATGATTATTGCACGTTTTTATTCCCAGATAGCAGAAACTTTGTGGTGGAGAGTTGGGATCACACATGACTTACTACATCAAACCTATGTTTTGTCAGTCAGCTTTATAGATTCATATTAACAACAGTCTCAAATATCTTTTCATATAGGTTCATTTCAAATAAGTACTTGGTGAAGCAGCAGAACAGAGATTATGATGTGGAGTGGGGATATGCCTTTGATGTACATCTGAATGCTTTCTACCCTCTTCTAGTCATCCTGCATTTTATCCAGCTGTTCTTCATCAACTGTAAGTAGAATACTTTGAGCTCTCTGCTTCAAAATGGTGCACTGTCAAAACAGCTGAGAGCAGTTACCTCTTGCAGATGTCATCATATCTGATTCTGTCATTGGGTATTTTGTTGGGAATACGTTATGGCTGATTGCAATCGGCTATTACATCTACGTGACATTCCTAGGATACAGTGGTGAGTAACATCAACGTCTTTTCTATTTGTTTGACTAAAAAGAAGAACATGTTTTCAGGCTATTACTTTGATCTTAGCATATTATTTGTAAAGCAGAGGCTTAGCTGCATTTTGAAGTAACTCTTTCTTTGTGGTAAATGAAGTATGATAGAAATGTAGCAATCCATGTTTTCAGCTGGAGGGACATCTTAACCAAAGAATTTATATTCTCCACCTCACCAAATTCCCTTGTATTAGTTCTGTAGCACTGTAACTTAGTTTTCTTGTTCCTCTGTAAATCCACTTGAAGATGTTTGCAGTAGATAAAAATTCTGTAATGAGTTTTAGACCACAGTTTTAGGTAAAACAGTTCCCCAAGGCATTTTGAGATAACTGTAGGGCTAGTAGGGCAGAGATGTCTGAGGAGGAGAGCAGAGCAGAACTATTTTTTATTGCTGCCTTGCCCCAAGGCAACTTTACGTGAAGGACCTTTTTTAAAGAGCACTACTTTATACTTGCTTCAATATTGCTTCTGTTTCAGCATTGCCCTTTTTGAAGAACACAGCTATTCTTTTGTATCCATTTGCACTTCTCATCATGCTCTATTTGATCTCATTAGCATGTGGATGGAACTTCACCAAGATGCTTTGTTCCTTTTATAAATACAGAGTGAAATAAAACCAGGAATTCATGTATCTAATGTTTATTTTGTTTCTACCTTAGCCATTTTGACAGTAAAGAAAAAATTAGCAACATTTTGTAAATGGTTGTAAATTTCTCTTTATTGTAGATAATTGTGTAAAAAAGTTTGAAGTGTCCTTTTTTTATTAAAATATTTACAACAGTAAACATGTTAGCAATTTTTTTCAAATACTTTTGCAGTACATTCCTAAAAACAAGTTACTTGGACATTTCTGTAGCTTAAATTTAACTGCAACAAGTCTATGTAGCGTAACTCTTACTGCAGATACTATGCACATACCGGCATAAGCTCTACATTATGAGGGGTTTAAGTGACACCAAAAAGCAGTTTTATTGAAGAGTAATATTGGAATACCTTGCCTTGGGACTGTGTGAAAGTACAGATCAATAGTGTTGCGATGGTAAAGCAACAGCTGTCTCTACATACACATCTGTCCTCTCCTTGTATGAGAGATTGTGAAAGCAGATTTACTTCAGTGACGACTTCAAATATACATGGACAACTCTGGCACACAGAAGAAACAGTGATGAAAGGCACAATTAACATGACCCATATCAGGTTTCCAAAGATAGCAGCAAATTTTAAACCAAATCTCTAGCAGTCCAGTGGGTATTACTACATCCACCATTCTGAGTGGCAGGTCAATCAATGAACATGGAACGAAAGTACAAGGTGGTTTGGCTACAGGGGTGGGCTCATGGCAATGCCTGCAGCTGTGAAGTCCACAAGGCAGAAGTAGAAACTGACCATCACAAACAATACCTTATGGAAAGTGAAGATGACAGCTTTCCAATGCAGTTTTCAGCATGAAACATGAGCACCGGGATTCAGGTTCCAAAACAACACAAGAGTAAACCGGTTACAGTAAGACAATTTCAATACTAGAATTTGATCTCTAAGGAAAAACTATAATTTATCTTAAAATACCAAATATGCTGGCAGTGCATCTTACAGTACTGTGTGTTTCAGCCACTGTTAAGGCTTGAAGAGATTAATGTTTCCCTCTCAGCAGATGCTGAGCAACGTTCTCCTTTAAGCAAGGAAAGCAGTGAACCGCTGATCCATGGAAGGGGAAGGTTTCCAGTCAGGATCTGCTCCCTTCCTGGCTAACAGCACAAGCTCCTGTCCTGCAGGCAGCTGCAGCCTAACTGTACACATTTTCCCTAACAGCAATCCTAGCATCACTGATCATCCACTTCAGTTCAACAGTAAAAATACTTCATACTTCGTGCCCTATCTAAGGAAAAACTATAATTTATCTTAAAATACCAAATATGCTGGCAGTGCATCTTACAGTACTGTGTGTTTCAGCCACTGTTAAGGCTTGAAGAGATTAATGTTTCCCTCTCAGCAGATGCTGAGCAACGTTCTCCTTTAAGCAAGGAAAGCAGTGAACCGCTGATCCATGGAAGGGGAAGGTTTCCAGTCAGGATCTGCTCCCTTCCTGGCTAACAGCACAAGCTCCTGTCCTGCAGGCAGCTGCAGCCTAACTGTACACATTTTCCCTAACAGCAATCCTAGCATCACTGATCATCCACTTCAGTTCAACAGTACTTCATACTTCGTGCCCTGTGGTGCGATGCCTTTGAAGGACTCGGGGCCTGTGTACCTTCCCTTTAGAGATATCAACATTTTCCCCCTTGAAACAAGGCTTCATCATTCTCAAAATTAAGCTACTTCAACTTCCAGCAGTTCACTGTTTACAGCAGAATTTAGCCAAACCCTTTAGAGACCACTAAGGTCAGAAAGGTGACACTCAAGGACTAATTCACCAGGTCTCCATGGGCTGTGTGTTGTACATCAGCAATCAATGCTAGCCGAAAACACCAGTTGTTTAATAGCTTTTCAGCCTTATGCTGGTGATTGTAAAGATGATTTAAAAACACAAGGACTTTTTTTCCCCCCTCTTTCTAGCTAGAGTTACTTGGTCTAGCTTTTTCAGAAAACTCCTTCCTAGTAAGAACAAACGTAGAACCTTGGGTTCATATAGTTTAGCGGAGCAAGGCTTGAGAGGATTTTATTTTTCTTTTCCTCTATGAAACTAAAATAATATTTTCCATGTTGGAGGTGAACTGTAAACTACTATGATACTTCATCTGGAGCAAGTACTTCCAACAAAATACAGAGATTACTGAAATTATAATATATCTGGGGAAAAAAAAAAAAAAGGAAACTGGTACACAGTTTCCGAATTTTTCCAAAGACTAATCACACTTCAGCTCATTCAAGGAACTGTGTTTCACACAGGCAAAGTATAAATTGCTTTGCTCTAAACTGACTCAAGGTATTTAAAAACTGCTTCAAAACAGCTAGACAAGCAGTGATACGACAGAAGACTCCAGTCTTTTCTTGGTCCATGAATCACATCTATTTGAATTTTTCTAAGCCATCTTTAAGTACAAAAAAAAAAAATATCCATAGGAATTTTTTCCATCAATGAAAACACACGGTTGAGATGCCTGCAAAAGCTCAAAGCCTTATACAGTGCTTTAGAAACACTCTAATTATCACATCCTGTTCACATTATTTACAAAGTGTTCAGTAGGATGACCCACTGAATGAGCAAAGCAAGGTTATACTGGCAGTCTTGTGTTTTCTTGGTCCCGAGCAATCCTGATCAGCTCAAAAAAAGCAAATGTTCACATCAGCCAGTCTGTCTGGCATCCAGTATAAGAAGTTCATTTGCCCAGGTAATGAAGATTTCTGGCTATGCCTTTGGTTTCACAGTTTACTTTTCTGAAGCTTTAACAGCATCAGAAGGAGCTAACAGGAGTATAGGACAGTGCAGGTTTTTTTCAAACACTTTCCATTATTGGATAACTCTTAAGATTCAGCGGCCTCAAGGGGATTTTTAAGGTGACAACAAAAGTAACTTGAAATTGAATGCATGCAGGGAAAACTCCCTCCAAACAGGTCATAGGTTTAAGATGCTGTTTAAGATTTCTTATGGTAATATTGTCCCTTACAATGGAGACGTGCAGGAGACTGGCTCACTGGTGCAGATCCACTCACAAACAGTACCCAAGCTAAAGGCTGATGAGCCAAACAGACCAGGAGTTCTTACTTCACCATACTACCAGGAAGGAGTCTTGCACCACTTTAACCTGATTTGGAATTTAAAGGTACACAGCCAAAAATAGCTGTCTGCAGTACACCAGCTCTGAATTTACCTGTATCTATGAAATATCATTTGTATTCATTGACACATTTATCTAGAGAGCCTATAAGCTCAGGAACATTGAAAGTATTGAAGCAGCCCAGAGTATTTTCAACTCCTGCTACTACAATGTAATAAAAATGCATCAATCTTTAGAAAACAACCCACTTTTTACCACACACTAGTTTAATTTGTTGTCTTGGATAAATTTCTTCTCAACATCTTTGAAAACTAAATATACTACTAACCAGTCTTGCAATCAATGTGGTATGGGGTTCTGTGTATTTAAATATATTAGCAGTGATTCATCTTAACCACTGTGAAATATCAGGAACAGTAATGCTTTTAGAATAAGCACACAGGTTTCTTACATAAATAGTACCAGTAAACTTCCAGACTCACGGAGAAATGGAAAAGGTCACTGTCAGCAAAACTAATTATATTAAGAAACTGCAATATCTAATGTATTTCTGCAGTCTGGATTGTAATAAATAACCCTAGTTTAAATAACTTGCATCATTCATTCACAGACACAGCTAAGAAGAAAACCTAAATATTTTCTCAGACCTTTGCTAGCTGATGTGTGATTAAAAAAAAACCATTTCATGTTGGTAATTTGATGGCAGGGCATTGTACAGGAAATAAACGGGGCTGTAGCACCACAATAGGCTAGAGTCACACAGGATTCAGAGCCTAGTCACCCACATTCCCAAATCCAAGAATAAACTCCATTTATGTGACCAGTGCTTAGCTTATGCCCACAGCATCTATGGGCAACACAAGCTTTCCAAGTAACATTTTATTTGCACCACCTGATGCAATCAGGAAAAGTAAACAAGGTCTGCTTGGTATCCAATTTTTTTTGAACTTACACCAGCCAGTCTAAACAGAAGGTCTTGTTCTGCATACAAATCTTGTCTTCCCTGTGTCCCCAGACAACATAGCTAAACCAAAATGAGAACATGTAGAAGTAGTTAAGTTCTTCAACTTGAATATTGCTGAATTGTCAAAGCTATGGCACAGTTCTCCAACAAGGCAGAAGAGAAGACAGGTTGACACTATAATCCAGTGGTGCTTGCAGTGCTAGCAAGGCAGCTTTAGGCTCCTGCTACTTACAAGCCTATCATGAAAGGGAGCCCAAATCTATCAGCTGAACTTTAA